TTTTCCATTATCAATTGACGCATAAGCATCAACTATGTTCTCACCAAGAACACTCAAGAGAGCAGCCTTAAACAGAGTATCCATTTTCTGAAAAGCTTGTGCCTGTTGAGCATCAAGCTCTCCTTCAGGTTTGTCGAGAGTGGCGTCGTAGCAACTCATGGTTTGAAACCATAACACTGCTCTCACGCGCCACCTCTTATAGTGGATACCCTCAAACATAGGAAGTCTCATGGAAGCAGCAAAACCACTCGGGGTAAATTGCCTATAATAAGGTTTTTGGATTGTTGGAAATATGAGCAATTTACCGAATGATTTTATTAATAGAAATACTAGATAAAGCATGACTAATAAAGTAGAGATAAAACAAGTCATGCGTTCTGACAGAGAGAAGGAAAATAGCTTCTGCATATATGAACCGTAGCTTATCATATCTATAGCAGACAGTAGAACTAGTTGCATATATGAAGTAGAACCTAACATATTTAGGGCAAGTACTAGTACGAGAAACTGTGGCAGGATATCTAACAGAAAGAAGAACACATACGGGACAACAGCGGCAGTAGCACTGCACTTGGGGTCGGTGTCCTCGCCAGCCATGTCATCGAGGAGGTTGTCGACGTCGGGGAAGTAGTCGTCGGAGTCCGGGGCGTCCGTGACGAAGGAGTCAGTCAGTAGTCGCGCAGAGCGCTCCCCAAAAACCTTATCACCCTTCTCCCGTACAGGACTCAAAGAGGTGCGGTTTTGGAGGCCTACTGTCCCGACCTGCGGTGCACACCGCCAGCCGGGATGAGGAAGACAGCAGGAGCTCAGAGATTGGAACCGGTGGCGTGAGGAAGGAGAAGTTCTGGTGCGTCTCTCTGAGAGGATCGACCTCCCTTTTATAGGCGCAAGAGGAGGAGGCGAGAGGTTGCGCCGGGAGCTGAAGGGAACGCGGGAGATGAAACGAACAGACAACAGCCGAAGGGTGCAGCATTCGTATTCAATATCCACTACAGCAAAAACTTTCCAGCTCCTGAGTGACCTTTCGTGGCGTGGCGTGGCGTGGCGTGGCGAGGCGGGCGGCGGAGGAGGAGCGCGCGTGGATATCCCTCTTGTTCTCATGCTCGTACAAGTGGGGAAAGAACCTCCCTTATAAGGAGGTCCAACTCCCACTAAACTAGCAATGTGGGACTAAACTTTAGTAGTATCCCTTGCCTTGCACAAATGGGCTAAGTGGGCCTCTAGGATTTATTAGGAATTTTTGAAATAGTTATTAGGCTGCCCAAAATGGACTAAATTCCAGCAGTGTGTACGATGCACCATATCTTCATGTACATCTATATTCTGTAGATTCCAACTATATCTTTGCTGATCCTAAAGATACATTATCCTTCACTAGTACGTTGTATGAACAGTCAGCGTAACCAGTGTAAATGTTTTCGCCCAATTATTCTATGATCACTAACAACTTGATGTGTCTATTTTATCTATGATTGCTATATGTGTGTGAATGAATGTATGTTGAGATGGTGGGGGGTAGCAATGAAGTAAATGGCAACTAGACCAGAACCATATCTATAATACCTGAATAAACCAGAACCATATCTATAATCTATAATACCTAAATAGTTGATCCCCACTACAAGTATTCTTTCAACATGCACACTCCACATCGTCATGCATGTCACAACAGTGTTTCAGTTCCTAACAGTACATCGGTCATGGGCCCTCTCTAACCAGCTACTATCTCTTCCAAGTGTTCTCCCCCTAAGAATGATCGGTCAGAGAGTAGTTAATAAAAGAAAAAGAAAAACAACCGAAGCCCAACCTTTCATCCCTAAAATAATAATTTTCCTTTGGCTAAACCACCGACCGAAGACTAGCTCCTCTTCCTCGAACCCACGATACGGCTTTGTTGCCTTCTTCACTGATGTCTCCTCGCCTCCCCTCCCCCACCCAGCATCCCATCGTTTCAATCCAATAGAAACTGTTGACCTTTCCTCTGCCCACGAGCGCCTCCTCCATAAACTCCATCTCTATCCCCTACCTCGATTGTTCATCGGGTGGAACCATGAAAGGGACACCCTAAACACATCCCACTAGCAACAGTCCTCGCAGCGTCTTTCTCCAGGTCTCCTATTCATGTTGCCGTTGCCACCGCAAATCATCGTTCTTCCGCTGTGATCTCTTCCTTGGTGAGTGCCTCTTTAATTTGTGGCATGGTGTTCAGCTTCTTTATTCTCCATTGCTGATTTTCCCTTGGACTTTCCCTTGGATTGAAGTCAAGGCATGTACAATTGTACATTACGGAGTTGCTTGACATGGTTGTGTAATGTTCTACAATTGTGCTTGTGTGGCCGCCAGGGAGGGACTTCTTCTGTCATTTGTTTGGAAAATTATATTTAGCGGTTTAGAGAATCTTGTGTTCAACCATTGTCAATGGTTAAGATTGTACTCCATTTCTAATTATTGTCTTTTGGAACAGTGGAATTATCTTCTTTTTGTCAAATTTGTTTTTTTGTTTAGATAAACTAGAAATATGCTGGTTGTGTTTGGGCAGAATGCATTCTCCATTTACACGCGCACGTTGACATTCCATGGATGTTTGCTCTTTGAGACATTGTTCATTGACCCGCAAAAAGAGTTGGGTTTCAGTTTAGATATAAAACAGATTCTGGATTTTCATTGTGGAACAACATAATTGTTTACCCTTTTGTTATCTAGAGATGCATCTTATATGGTTTTGTCAAATATTTAGGTGACTAAAGTGGGGCCAAACTAAACCAGCTCGTGCATTGATTCTGACTACCTGAAGTTGGTCCATGAGGACCAAGGGGCAACAGATTTTCTGAGTATGATGCTGATTTTTTCCAATGATTTACATGGGAAGGGTGAGTCTAGCTGTGATGATCCCGATTCGCTCGGCAAACAAATAAGTGCATTTGGCAGAAGAAGAAGCATATGACGTTTGAGAAACCCCAAAGTTTATCGTACGGTAAGAAGTGACTACGATACTCTCATGGTCTAAGTAACTAAACCACACATTAACTCTCTGTGTTATAACAATTGACTTGTGACGATAGCATCTCAAAGTATAACAAACAAGTTTAGGTCAATTCAATATGATCGTTCTTTTAACGCCATATTCTCAATGTTGTTTTGAGACTATTGTTACACTTAAGGACATCTCAAGATTCGGAAAACATGATCATAAACAACACTTGAGCTAGTCTTAGAGGCGAGACTAGAAATCCGGTTTTACGGTTTATCATTCCACACGTCCATATAAGTTTTCCACTGAATCGCACATTCCAGGATCATAGCAGTTACATCATAGAATATAAACTCTTAATTATAAATATGAAAATATAATAATACACTATTATTGCCTCTAGGGCATAATTCTAACAAATGATTGGTATCAAAATTTATGATAGCACTAGGCTGTTGGTACTTTGTGTTTTCCACAATGCATGATATACATAAGGAAGGTGTTTTTAGCATTATGTATATGTGATGAATTATTCTAGTTGGAGTTCGAACCATGATGTTTTGAACATGTCTTGTATACACCGGAAACAAGTGATACACTAGAAAATGTTGTGAGTCGAAGTGAATGAATGATTGAACCAATCTATTCCATGGATGATCAAGACATTTATATAGTTGGAACTAAACCTGGGCTAGGTGGCCCGGCCCGGCAGGCCCGACCAAAAGCCCGACGTTCGGGCAGGTTTGGGCCTTGATTTCCAGCCCGTGGCCTGGCCCGGATCCCGGGAAAACCCGGCAAACATGTATGTTAGGGATTTTAAATAAAGAATGGGTGCAATGTTGTATTATTTATCCCTAGAATAGGTGATTTGTTATTTTTTTAAATGCAAAAATAGGCATTTTGCTGGGCTGCGGGCCGTGTTGGGCTTGGGCTTGGGATTTTGTTAGTCGGGCTTTGTGAAGCCTGGCCCGAACCCGGCCCGGCGAGAGAATGCCCAACTCTAGTTGGAACACACAAATAAGGGACATGTCCGATCGTGAAGGGAATCACGGTGTTGGTGACCATATTGGCACCTTACAGAGAGGATTATCCCTTAATTATTGATTAATTAAATCTACATCATCTGTTGAAGCTTAACTTTTGGGCCTAAGTGATGTAAAGAGTTATTATTTATACATATACATCATCTGTTGGAGATGCTTTTAGACCTATAGGTTAGATCATGAGTAGTAGTGTGAGATATGCATCCTCATGAATATCGAGTAGTGAGTCATGTATGGTTCATACGATGTGGCTTTCGTTGATTTTTTCTCCAATTCTTCTACCTATTATCTTTCTAACAGTTTCATGTCATGTTTTTATTTTCCTTATCTATTTATTGTTTTTCTTTTCTATGTTTTCCATTTTTAAGATGAACTATTTTATAATGTGACGAAAATATTTTTTAAAATACATGAAAACATAAATAATTTTAAAATCATGAATATGTTTAATTTTTTAAATAGTTTTAAATTCGTGAACAACTTTAATTGAACATTTCTAAGAAATCACATTTTTATAGAATTTATATTTAAAAGAAAATATGTGAGCATTTCTTTAAATTGCGTCATCATTTTTTCAATGAGCGTTTTTAAAAATTGGTGAACATTTTTTGATACATTACATGAATTTTGTCCTTTTCTCTAATATAGTTTCTCATTTTTAATACCAATATTCTTAAATCTATTACAAATATTATTTTTTTCTGAAATAAAAAGTATATCATGTGCAGCGCACGGCACGCTGACTCTTATTTGTTTTGAGGGGTCTCTTACTCTCAAGGAAAAGAAACGCGGAAGTGACTGGGTCGCAGCCCAAGTAGCTCTCGTTGCCGTTTCCTCATTATTCAGCGCTTACAGCGTTGAATACGAGGACTCACCTTGGACCGAAAGAGGCCCTCTCCCTCTCCACCGGATCTTAACTGTTGCATCTTCTCCGACGCTGGCGGCGTAGACGGAGGCGGAGGCAGACAGCCACGAAGAAGGGAAGGATGAACCGCACGGAGCGCAAGGCCGCGAGGGGGAATCAAGGCGAGGACAAGTGGACGGGGAAGCGCCGCCTGCTGCCGGAGGCGAACGAGGAGAAGCGCCGCAAGAGGGTGGCCAGGCCGGAGGAGGAGGAGGAACCAGTGGACCTGATGGCCTTAGTGGCGACGCAGTACCGCGAGAGATGGGAGTGGAGGTACCGTCGTGGTCGCGAATCCTACGAGGACGCAAGTAAGCAAGCATCGATCGATCCCGTCGCCCCACGATCTTCTTCTGGCCCCGGCGATCACCATCCCCACCATTCCCGTCAACCGATGAACGGATTCCTATTTTTTATTCTTTCTCCGATTCTAAACAGGGCGAGGTTTTGTTTTGATGCAATGGTTGATCGTCAGATCATGGATGGGTTACTAAACTGAATCTTGATTGTGCTGCGTGCAGCGTCTATACCACCTATGCGATACACCGACGAGCCGCCGCCGCCCATTAACCGTGTCGGCTGCGCTGACGCTGTGGTCGTCTTCTCGGTGAAGGTGACGGAACTAAGCGATGGCCTGGAATGGCCGCTGGATGTGTACGGCGTTGTCGCTGCCCGGGATTCTGCGGACCACAATCGCAACCTCCTCTTCAAGCGCACCAGAGACAACTGCCAGACACTCACCGCAGAGGTGTGTGTGTGTGTGCATCGATGCTATGTTTTTCATGCTATTTTGCCTGATCCATCGCGTATCATCACTTACTTGCATAGGCATGGCCGCGTGGGATATATACTAGCAGGGTTTATGGCATGGTTACGCTGATGTATTCATAGGTTAATTCGACTGCAATTATCTAAATTCTATGAGTGTGTCACAGTTACATATGCCGTCGATATGTGATATTTTCATTTGAATTGAAATCCAAGATAGCTAGTTGAGCCTGTGCAAACACATGAAGAATGGAATTAAGATGTGCATAGCTGAAAGATGAATTTGCTAGACTTTTCCTAGTAACTGATTTAACCATGCACAGCATTAGACTACACGCACAACCAGCAAGGGTTTGAGGATTTGAAATTTTGATGAAGTAAATGAGAGCAATTTTGCAGACCGGCACACATCCCATTCGTACTGTAGCACAACTTTGCAGTAAAATTTTACTGAATTTCCAAGCTTTGTTCTCTTATTGATATGGGGCCGAATTTAATCAATTTTCCAACATCATCCCATGCAGGATGCCTCTCTGTTGTTGACCGGTCCTAGCCGCGCCATCATGAAAGTTAGGGCTGTCGACTATGATGTTGAACTAAAAGCGAAGGGTGAATCCCCGTCTCAAGATAAGCTCTTGAGCTTTTTTGTCGACAAGAACTACTACACTCCTGGTGAACGTCGCCAAGGAGTTCGCTGCCACACATGCTCTTCTCAGCTGAGCACAGTGGTGGTGATGGTCGGACACCTTAAAGAAACGGTGGAGGCTACCATGACAATCCGAGTGACCGAGGGATCCTGGCCCACTCGATATCATGGACGATTCGCTGCGCGTATCTCCAACCTTGATGACAGGGACATGGTATTGTTCGATTCTCGGGACGAAGCGATAACTGTTATGAGCAATGGCACAATCGAGCTCACGCGTCCTGCTGTTTCGGTGGAAAAAAATGGAGAGCTGAGGATTTTGGTGGACGCATGGCTTGATGATGGTGATCTCGAGGCTGCTTCGGTTGCCAATGGTGAAGTGTTGTTTGCCCCTAGAAGGTCAGGTAGAAGCAAGGGTGTGTGTGATGTTGGGTTCTCTAGGATAGAAGTCACTGTCGCCTGGTCCCTTGTTGTGAACCGGTGACATATGCTAGTGGGTTTGTTTGGGCCTGACCACATCAAAAAACATAGTCACATAAGAGTAGTTAATCAAATAAGGAGGATTATCTTATGTGTCACTCATAACTCATATTATAGTAATGCAATCTCAAATTGTAACATGAGAAAACACTAGTAGAAAAAAAGTCAAAGGTGAAGCACATTAGTGCCGGTTTGAATTTGAGCCAGCACTAATGTGTCCATTAGTGCTGGTTCCAACGGCTAGGCGGGCGGAGATCATTAGTACCGGTTCGTGGGCAACCTTTAGTACCGATTCATGTCACGCACCGGTACTAATGAGGCTGTGGTCAGGCTGGGGCCCCACGAACACCTTTAGTACCGGTTCGTGGCATGAACCGGTACTAGAGTTTCTTAGTAAGCTGATTTTTAGTCCCACCTCGCGAAGAGAGAGGCAGTAGGAGCGGTTTATAAGCCGTGAGTACAGAGACGATGAAGGAGAGGCGCAATGCTCATCTGCACATTGCTTAGCTTCAAGCCTTTCGGAATAGCATAGACTGCACGGAGCTATGTGCAGTGCAGTCTACACTATTCTAAAAGGCTTGAAGCTAATTAATGAGCATTGCGCCTCTTTTTTATTTTTAATAACTTGTTACAACTCCGGACTTCTTGTGTAATGGCAAAAATTGGATGCACTTCGTGTACAAACTGGACAATCTCTTTCGAAGTATTAATGCCGGTTTCAGACGAAAACTCATCTGTTACACCGTCACTTCATTTTTTTAAACTTATTACAACTCCAGACTTTTTTGCGTTCAGTACGCACCATTCAAAGCCACGTAATCAACTTTCAACCCTTTCTGACATCATTTGCTATTTTTTATTTATTTATCGATTTATTTTGAGAGCTAAATGACCGTGAAATTGAAAATCACTACAAAATGAACTCTGAAAATGTTGAAACTTGGCATGGTATCATCATTTCACCCACATAGCATGTGCAAAAGAGTAGAGAGGGTTACGGCAAAAACTGGACGCACTTCGTGTACAAACTGGACAATCTCTTTCGGAGTATCAGGGTTTCGGACGAGAACTCGTCTGTTACACGGTTACTTCGTTTTTAAAACTTATTTGAACTCCAGACATTTTTGCGTTTCGTATGCAGCATTCAAAGCGACGTCTTCAATTTTCAACCCTTTCTGACATCATTCGCTCTTTTTCAGTCATTTACCGATTTGTTTAGTAAATGACCGTGAAATTGAAAATCACTACAAAATAAACTATGAAAATGTTGAAACTTGGCATGGTATCATCATTTCACGCACATAGCATGTGCAAAAGAGTAGAGAGGGTTGTGGCAAAAACTGGACGCACTTCATGTACAAACTCGAGAATCTCTTTCGGAGTATCAGGGTTTCGGACGAGAACTCGTCTGTTACGCGGTTACTTCATTTTTTAAAACTTATTTGAACTCCAAACTTTTTTTGCGTGCCGTATGCAGCATTCAAAGCGATGTCATCAATTTTCAACCCTTTCTGACATCATTGGTTCTTTTTCAGTCATTTACCGATTTGTTTAGAAAGCTAAATGACCGTGAAATTGAAAATCACTACAAAATGAACTCTGAAAATGTTGAAACTTGGCATGGTATCATCATTTCACCCACATAGCATATGCAAATGAGTAGAGAGGGTTACGGAAAAAACTGGACGCACTTCGTGTACAAACTGGACAATCTCTTTCGGGGTATCAGGGTTTCGGACGAGAACTCGTCTGTTACGCGGTTACTTCATTTTCTAAAACTTATTTGAACTCCAGACATTTTTGCGTTCCGTATGCAGCATTCAAAGCGACGTCATCAATTTTCAACTCTTTCTGACATCATTTGCTCTTTTCAGTCATTTACCGATTTGTTTAGAGAGCTAAATGATCGTGAAATTGAAAATCAATACAAAATGAACTCTGAAAATGTTGAAACTTGGCATGGTATAATCATTTCACCCACATAGCATGTGCAAAAGAGTAGAGAGAGTTACGACAAAAACTGAAAGCACTTCGTGTACAAACTGGACAATCTTTTTCGGAGTATCATGATTTCGGACTATATAAAAAACTATATGAAAAACTACTCAGAAACAATTAGAAGAAAATAAATAAAGCAAAAAAAAAGACTACTTCGAAATAAATAGAAGAAAATAAATAAGTCAGAAAAGAAAAAACTATGTAAAAATACTACTCAGAAATAGATAGAAAAAATAAATAAAGCAGAAAAGAAAAAATATAAAAAATTGTTGGGGCGCTGTCCAGTGGGCCTGCTAGGCCTTGGACTTGTAAATTCAGGCCCACAAGGCCCAGCAGGCTCACAGGACAGCGCGCCATAGTCAAGCCCAGAAGCCTGGTTTATAGAGGAGTTTGATAGAGCAGCCGCGACTGGTTTATAAACCAGTGCGGCTGCCCTTCGCCCGGCGAGGTGGGACTAAACTTTGCGCACCGCAACGCACCCCTTTAGTACCGGTTCATGGCTCCAATCGGTACTAAAGGCCACCCTTTAGTACCGGTTGGAGCTACGAACCGGTACTAAAGGGGCCCGCTTCCCGCCGCTTGACCTGGCAAAAATTGATCTTTAGTACCGGTTGGTGGCTCCAACTGGTACTAAAGGCCCATCCTATATATATAGCACTTACGAAAAATTCAGTTTCATCTATCCAGTTCTTCTTCAAACTGCTTCCCGCGACATCGCCGCTGCCACCGCACCGTCGCCCATCGCGCGTTGGGCCCTCGCCGCCCCTGTCGCGCGTCGTTGCCCCCGCCGCCCGTCGTCGCCGTCTTGCGCCGCCGCTCGTACGTCGCCGTCTCACGCCATCGCCCCCGGCCCGCCGCCCTAGCGCCGTCCCCGTCACGTCGCCGTCTGGCGCCGCTGCCCCCCGCTCGTACACACACACACACACTTGGCATGGTTTCAGCAGGAGAACATAGGGATCGAAGATGATCCAAGTAATAACCTTCAGCAGTGTGATAGATTTTGAGTGGTTCTTCAACCATTGGTTCAGTAGGTACCACTATTTTTTTGGTATTTTGTGTTTCCTACCCATGACTAAAGATAGAAAACAACTAAGAACAGCAAATAAAAATTACTTAGTGATAAAGCAAACAAGCACACACGAGAATATTCACCCCACGCTATTGCTCCCCGGCAACGGCGCCAGAAAAAGGTCTTGATAACCCACAAGTATAGGGGATCGCAACAGCTTTCGATAAGTAAGAATGTCGAACCCAACGAGGAGCTAAAGGTAGAACAAATATTCCCTAAAGTTCTATCGACCACCGATACAACTCTACGCACGCTTGAGGTTCGCTTTACCTAGAACAAGTATGAAACTAGAAGTACTTTGTAGGGGTTTTTGGATAGGCTTGCAAGAAAGTAAAGAGTGAGAAAATAAAAGCTAGGGGCTGTTTAGATGAAGACACAACTAAATTGGTTTTAGTAGAGAGCCTTTGTCAACAAGAAAGTTATTTGTCCCTAGGCAATCGATAACTAGACCGGTAATCATTATTGCAATTTTATTTGAGGGAGAGGCATAAGCTAACATACTTTCTCTACTTGGATCATATGCACTTATGATTGGAACTCTAGCAAGCATCCGCAACTACTAAAGATTCATAAAGGTAAAACCCAACCATAGCATTAAAGTATCAAGTCCCCTTTATCCCATACGCAAACAACCTACTTACTCGGGTATGTGCTTCTATCACTCACGCCACCCACCATAAGCAAATCATAAGCATATTGCAAATCCTACAACGGGAATCCCTCACGCTTGCGCGACACGGAGAGCACCATAGGACAGCACCAATAATAAAACATACAACTCAAACCAATCACGATCATCAAATAGCCATTAGGACAAAACAGATCTACTCAAACATCATAGGATAGCCATACATCATTGGGAAATAATATATAGCGTTGAGCACCATGTTTAAGTAGAGATTACAACGGGTAAGAGAGAGGTTACACCGCTGCATAGAGGGGGGAAGAGTTGGTGATGATGGCGGTGAAGTTGTTGGTGAAGATGGCGGTGATGGTGATGGCCCCGGCAGTGCTCCGGCGCCACCGGAAGCAAGGGGGAGAGGGCCCCCCTTCTTCTTCTTCTTCCTTGACCTCCTCCCTAGATGGGAGAAGGGTTTCCCCTCTGGTCCTTGGCTCCCATGGCGTGGGAGGGGCGAGACCCCCTCCGAGATTGGATCTATCTCTCTGTTTCTCTCTGGTTCTGCGTTCTCCCGGTGCTCTGTTTCACCGTTTCGCGTATATATGGAGATTCGTAACTCCGATTGGCCTGAAACCTTCATCGTGATTTTTTTTCCAAATAATAGCTTTCTTGCGGCAAAAGAAGAGCGTCAACCGCCTTATGATGGGCTCACGAGGGTAGGGGGCGCGCCCAGGGGGGCAGGCGCGCCCCCCTGCCTCGTGACCACCTCGGGCACTGGTTCGCGTTGATTTTCCTTCCAAATTTTCCAAAAATAAGCTCCGTCCGTTTTTATCCCGTTTGGACTCCGTTTGATATGGATATTCTGCAAAACCAAAAACATGCAAGAGACAGGAACTGGCACTGGATCAATATGTTAGTCACAAAAATAGTATAAAAAGTTGCCAAAAAGTATATGAAAGTTGAATAATATTGGCATGGAACAATCAAAAATTATAGATACGACGGAGACGTATCAGCATCCCCAATCTTAATTCCTGCTCGTCCTCGAGTAGGTAAATGATAAAAAAGATATTTTTTTGATGTGGAATGCTACCTAGCATAATCTTGATCATATGTCTAATCATGGCATGAATATTAAGACACGAGTGATTCAAAGCAATAATCTATCATTTGACATAAAAACAATAATACTTCAAGCATACCAACCAAGCAATTATGTCTTATTGAAATAACATAGCCAAAGAAAGCTCATCCCTACAAAATCATATAGTCTGGCTATGCTCCATCTTCACCACACAAAGCATTCACATCATGCACA